GCTTGATGAAGCACTTTTAAGGTGAGCTCTTTGCTGTTACCGATTTTTCATTGATGAACATTCCATTTTTATTAGATAAACCGCTCAGCTTTTGAAGTCAATTTTGTAACTATTGTATAGCCATGGTGATAGTTTTCTCTGGACAGGCCTGGACGTTTAGAGGTTCAAGTGGAGATAAGCCTCCCTGATGAAGCTGGTCGTTTGCAAATTCTTGAAATACACACAACCAAGATGAAAGAAAATTCTTTCCTTGCACCAGACATCAATTTGGCTGAACTGGGTATGTGAATTGGTTGTAAATGCTTTTGAGGTCACTGGTATCTTCTTGTTGCTTTATATTGAACTATGGTGATAAAATTTCACATTGATGTGCCTTAGACTGTAGAAAATTACTCTCTTTGTCTCCTGTGGCATTCAGTTTCATAAGCATTTTGGTAAAATGATGTAACAATATTTACTGTAGGATTTTCAATTTTATTTGCCTGTTGTCCCCTTGAAAGATGGATGTTTTATTTAACTAAACTTTATTTTCCTATGTTTTTAGGCTTCCTAATCTTAGCACTACAACTTTTATACATCTGGTAATATGATGTGAAGGGTATATATAAATTTATCTACACATTAATGCAGCTGCAAGAACAAAGAATTATAGTGGAGCAGAGCTCGAAGGTGTTGTTAAGAGTGCTGTCTCATATGCTCTGAACCGGCAATTAAACATGGACGATCTTAATAAGCCAGTGGATGAGGAAAACATAAAAGTTACTATGCACGACTTTTTGGAAGCTATAGGAGAAGTCAAACCAGCATTTGGAGCATCTACCGGTGATCTTGAACGATGCAGGTAAGATAGTAAGGGTCTTATGGTTCTTTCATATGGGATATTAATTTGTTATTTAGCTTTGGCTAATACCTCGTTTCCATTTGGTAGTTTAGAAGCTGTGATATATTGGCTGTAATCAGCCTGCCTCCTATTAATTATGTAGATATTATTTTATCAGAGGTTTTATAATCACATCTCTACTAAAACTTGTAGGCTCAATGGAATGGTGGATTGTGGTGTACGCCATGAGCACATCCAGCAACGCACTATGCTGCTAGCAGAACAAGTAAAACTTAGCAAAGGCAGCCCACTTTTGACTTGTCTTCTGGAAGGTCCAAGTAGCAGGTATAATTACGTTTCCTTGCCCTTGTTCCTTGCTGTTTTTTGAATAATTATTTACAGTTTTCTGATTTTGTTTGTGTTTAGTGGGAAGACTGCAATGGCTGCTACAGTTGGTATCTGTAGTGATTTCCCATATGTGAAGATTGTAAGTTCTCTACTTGTTGATTTTATCATGCTATTTTTCAAGATCCATGACTTTAACATGTTTTATTTCTCTTTGTGTAAATAATGAGTAGGTTTCAGCGGAATCCATGATTGGTCTCAGTGAGAGTACTAAATGTGCACATATTGTCAAGGTTCATTTTTACTACTCTTTCTTTTGTAGTTTTTGACCTTTTATGAAAAATGAAGTATAGTAATTATGTTCCGAATCTGTATATATTTTCATTATCGTGTATCTCTAAACTTGTTAGTGTTACACATGTACAAGCACACCACTGCCACATTAGTGCATGTGGCATTATGGCATCCATGTTTTCTTTTCCCTTTGTAATTTTTGTGCGTTTATGTACTGCTGTCATTGATATTTGATTATGCACCTTTGGTTAAATTTTTATTTGTAGGTCTTTGAAGATGCTTATAGATCACCACTGAGCGTAATAATACTTGATGACATTGAGAGGTGACTTTGACAATGTTTTATTGTTATTCCTTTAATTTTGTTTCTTTTTGTTGGATCATAAACTCAATACTATCCTGCAGGCTTGTAGAATATGTGGCTATTGGCCCTCGGTTTTCAAATATCATCTCGCAAACATTGATGGTCCTCTTGAAACGACTTCCCCCACTGGTGTGTCTCTTGAAATTCTCCATGCTCTAAGATTAGTTTTTACTCCCTATACAGATGTTTCTAACTAATTGTCTGTTTTTATTCTATCAATTTATTTGTAGGTTCCTAGTTTCCCTTCCTGTTCATCCCTCTTTTTTTTTCCCAACAGTTAACAACTTAGTTTAATTATGATCCCATATCATTTAAAAGAAACTAGATCCATCTAATACTGGATTGCCTTGAAAATAACCTCGAAGACTAGCTTAAAAGCCTGTAGTTGCTCAAAAGCAACTGTATAGGTGCAGAAAAAACTCACTTCTGTCAGCTGCTGACAAACATCATTTTCTTGAGAGATAAATGTGTGAGTTTAATGGAAAATCCTATGGTCTTTTTTTTCCCTGATCTCTGTAATTTTTATATTTGCAATCACAATTTGCTTTTCATGATCCCCAATCCCCTTGTAACGAATATTGCAACTTCTGTCGCAATTATGCTGTACCTAGCCTTTATATATTGTTGGGCCATTGTTGTGAGTGTAAAATAGTGGCAATAGTGCAAATATCATGTGATGTTAGCAAATTCGTGCATGTTTTACTAGGAAGTATACCTATTACTCTGTTAGCACGTCTACACTTAACATCCTCTGCAGCTTTAAGGTCCAATCATAGCCAACATTCGCATGCATGTGAATTAGTATAGTGTCTGTAGATTATGTTGTAATTTACTTTAGTAGCTGCAATTTATACCTGTAAGAGACATTGAACAGGAAGCTATTATAGGATGACCTTAGCTTGGTTCCATGATCCATAGTTGTGTATTGACTCATGACTTGATTGTGGATTGGTGTTTGAAATCAAAAGTGGTGTATAGCTCTTTCCTTGAGATTATATTCATACTCCTAAATGGAATGGTCCACAAGATGCTACCCTGTGAGCACAACTTGTCTTTGTTCTTCCACTAGTTCAGCAGCATAATCGAGTTTGAAACCTTTAGATTAGTCTTAATTCTTCTATATGTGCTATACATTGTGGTATTAAAGGGCTAGTGGGGAGTGAAATTCTGCTGAGGAGAGGAGAGGGCGGCATTGCTTTGCTACCATGTTTTGTGAGAGACGATGATTCTAATTTGTCATTAGGATGTGGGTATTGTAACCTAGTTTGGACCTTGGGGTGGATGAACAAGTTTATGCCCTGGGTGGCTATGGTTTCACTTTTCACTTGGGATCTTTCTTTGGTGTATTGGTCATATGCTCCAATGCATGTAAATCAGATTTTGGACTTAATGTGGATTAATGATATGATGAAAGTGTGTGGGGGCTCAAAAGGATGGTGTGATTACAATTTGTTCGTTTTAGCATTATCCATAGAGACTAATCTGGTAGAAATTTATTTTATCTAGTTTTTTTTTTTTCCCAAATAGAAAACCTAGTTGATTGTTTAGAACTCCTCTATGAGAATCATAGTAACTCTGATATCAATTTATTTCTTACCATTGACTGCTGCTGTGCTGTATGTCAGTGCATTATTCCATATCTTAAGTCTCATTACTTGATCATTTGTCTCCAGGGAAAGAAACTTCTTGTGTTAGGGACAACCAGTGAAGTTGGTTTCTTGGATTTAATTGGCATTCGTGATGCATTCTCTGTCACCTATAATGTCCCAACTTTGAAAACTGAAGATGCACGAAAGGTTAGCTAATCTTTCTCCATGTAAAAACATGATCTAAAGTTGATCTGGGGCTTCTTTTTAATGTGATTGTGGAGCATTTTGGAAAGAAAGTACGTCTTTCTGGGGTTTGAATGTAGAATATAGTACAAATCAACTGACTGGTAAATAAATATTAAAATCATGGTACAATGGTACTTTTTTAGACTAGTTTGACCAAACAGGTAGTGAGTTGTGTCCCCATGCCTTTGTAATGTACCAAACATATCACGAATTAGGTAACATTGGTGCGTAATGAGGTCTGGATGCCCTGTATGTTTCTAATGAGTAGTGTTATACTATTCTGGCTATGTATGTGGTAGCCTGCTATGTAGATTGCATAACTTATGATTTTGGGTTATTATCTGGTTAGCATGTGCAATTGAAAATTTCATTGACATTTAGGATATAGGATATATAAAGGCTTGCCTGTTGCAAAAACAAAAGATATGGGTGATTTTGCTAGTTGCTCCATTTCCATGTAAAGCTCGCGTCCTTTTCTATGTTGATTGGGTTCTTAAATCTGTTCTCTTTTTTTTTTCTCTCTCCTTACTCAGGTGTTGAAGCAACTAAATGTCTTCTCAGAGGATGACATAGATTCTGCTGCTGAGGCCCTAAATGATGTAAGTTCATCTTCTTTCAGTTTTCTTCCCCGTATGGATGTTAACTATGACTTTGTTTTACATTAGAGTAGCTTATAGTTTATACTCCATCAAGGATTCTTAGGACATATTGAGTTTGATGTTATTTGTGCCCAAAAATTTTTGTTGCCCCTCGATTTTTCACCTTTTTTTTTATTTTTTATTTCTGTTTGTCATTTTGCAGATGCCAATCAAGAAAGTGTACATGCTAATTGAAATGGCTGCTCAAGGTGAACAAGGAGGTAAAGCAGAAGCCATTTACTCTGGCCAAGAAAAGATTGACATCTCTCACTTTTATGAATGTCTTCAGGACCTTGTCCGGTACTGATTCACACTAAACAGCATGTTATTAAACTGATTTTTTCACGAGTCGTTGCTTTGACGATAATTTTAATCAGATCGGCTGTGTTATTAATTATTATATTCTTTCACCCTTTATTTTTTCTTTGAACCCTACTGTGGTTCTGACCATGGTTTTGTAGTTAGCTGGTGTGTATACCTTACAGATTTAACTGATGTATGTACTGCCATTTTTTCACCAGTTTTGTCAGATGTTGAGCTTTTAAATTTAGGATAAATGGCCTTATTTGGCATGTTCAGTTAATCTTAATTAAAATCCTGTATCTTTTGACCGTATGTTCCATTTCATCTGTGAATTGATTGTGCAATGGTTTTACTGTAATAAGGAGTATCATTATAAAGTATCATATATGAAAGGTGTGCACTTCTTATAAAATCGATATTCGATATCAACCAATTGTATCATTACAGCTTTAGTGCTACAGTATCTTTTTCTTATTCACAACACTTTTAGTTTTTCTGCTTAAATTTGAATGACAAAACTCAATTTTTACAAGCTTGGTATCGTCGTGTTGATGAATAAAAGAATAGTTTCTAATCTTTCCATAAAAAAAAAAATAATGAATAAATAAAATAAAATTGCAGTGAACAATGTAGGCGTCTGTGAGGTAAAAGAATGCCTATAAAAAAAATTGCAGTGAACAATGTAGGCGTCTGTGAGGTCAAAGAGTGCCTGCCGGCACTATACAAACCACTTCAACCATCAGTGTGGCATGTCTTATAAAGGTTTTGGTTGGCATGGACCCAGATAGAAGCATATAGTGTGTACTCAGATCATTCACCATTCAAGTGCCTACGATATAAGGCATATTTCATAAGCTCATAGGATGAAACTACAATCCCAACTGAAGGACCAGCACGGGCAACCCGAGGACTAATTCCTGTGAATAGCCCTTTCCAGCCTCCATCCCTGCAATTGCAATTAACAAATTTAATTAGCATAGTTTGAGCATGCCAATTCTTGTTTAATCATGAAAGAAAAAGCAACTTAGTGAGAATCGGAAGCAAAATAAAGTAAATTTGGTACTACTATAGTTTTTATATATTGATGTATTCATGAGCATAGACAGCAGCCAGAATAGAATGCATATTTTCAGAATATTAGCTCTAGCAGCTACACTACTGGGGATACAAAAATTCCAGAAGCGCACACTTCAAGTTGGTCCCTTCCAAGAAAAAAGAAAAAAATCTTTTGAGAAATTTCCTTGGATGACAATATCAATTAAATGCCTCTAACCTCAATTTGCTATTTAATGTATACACGTCAGTCAGCCAACATTTCAGTTGCAATGACAAGGATATAAGAAACTCTTTCAACTTACAACTTTCAAGTTACAAAAAAAAGGCTCCACAGACCCTGCCCATAGCGGAAACTAAACAAGAAGAATCGTTATCATGGTAATAGAAATGGCATCAACAAGATGACCGGACAACCAACCCCTGTATATCGGTCTAATTCATGTCAATTCAGACCATAATACTATGCCTTAGCTCTGTGCTAAGTGCTGATGCTGCTTGCACATATTAGGGTGCAAAACTGATCTAAAAGCAGTCAACGTCTCAGGAGACTACGGAGACTACACCAACAACATAGTTGCCACTCTAGGCAGTTCGAAAATTACGTACAACTCTAGTTTCAAAACCCAAATATATAGACATCTTAAAAGCACAGGTTAAAGCCTACCTCCATATCTCCATCAATGTATGCCTTGTTGTCATCCTCCTCTGTCTAGCTGGATCTTTCTGTTAAGGCCAAAATGAACACTCGTTAGAGCTAAAAACATATACCATTAGTACATTGATATTTGGACTAATTTTTGCTACCGCCATCTCATATACCCATGTTTTCCAAACCCATTCAAGACAGTTCCATCTTTTTTTTGCCAATTTATCTGCTCAGTATCCCCTACTACATACTCCTTTTTTTATTAGTTGCTCCATTTTGATTTTTTGTACTATATAAGGTAAAAACATATTTTCAAATGTTAGCTTTTTGCCATTTTATAATTTATACTTACAGTTAAAACATTTAATGGTCGAAATTGTACATGGGCAAATGGCAAGTCAAAGACGATTTGTTAGCACAATCGAGGTAGAAAGTGATCATAAATCACTTGATAGAAATTAAATGTAAATCACCTCTATTTGCCTCCGAGTTCTTGCAACATCTAGAGGGCATGTGGCAGCTGCAGCAAGGGCACCTGCAATGAATCCGCCAGCAAAATTTGCACCTAAAACACTCGTCGCATTCATTTCATCACCAGTCAAACTGAGAATTCTTCTTCTGATCTGCACAACCTCAACATTAATTTGAATATGCAACTGTTAATTAATTAAATGAATAAATCTAATTCAAGAGTAAAACTCACAGGTTCAAGTGTTCCCCAGCAAATGGCAGAGAAAGGAACATCACGAGCAAGTTGAGCTCCAAGACCCGTCCACAAAACACGATAATTTTGTACTGTAACAAAATACAGATTTCATGAGTGATTTAGGAAGAATTTTCTAACAAAATGAGAAAGACATCAACAAAATTCTCTAATTGCCCCTTTGGATCTCAGACAAATTGTAGCACAATACCAAGAATTTATGGTATACATCAAACAAATATGCTGATACATAACTATTTTTCTGGTCATGAGATTCATTTCCACTCCAATAAATTACCAATATATATCAGTACACAACACTTGCACAACAAGGGTTTCAACTCATTTTCTACGCTGTAAAGATTTTTTTTTTCTTTTTTGAGGGTGACATCTACTAAAAGGTAAACATAGTATGAGTCTATTCTTCTGACAATCTAAATCAACTATTAAATTCAATAAAAATGCTCCCTGGACACTTGTCCACAAAGCTGTAAAAGAGAATACATAAAACAGCCCATTAATAACGAGAAAACATACAGTTTTGCAAATGATTCGCACTTCTGGCAGGGGATACGGCCCCAGTCAGAGTTTTCCAAACTCCTGGAGGATTGACACCAGCTCGAGGATCCGTAAATGCCTACAGTTTTGAGAGAGAGAATAAGGTACAACATAACTGGATTAATAAATATAATACTACAAAAGTTTGAGACAGTTTGGCTCCTAATGGAATCATGCATTATTCTAGGACTATATTTTGGTTCACAGAAAACATGATTACAATCTGGCTAAAAACGCCTATGTTTGGCTAATGGTATAGTACCTTGGGTGCTAAGAAAATGTCAAGTATGGGGGAGGCCAAGGTGCTGCAGCTGCTCAAGGCCATGCCTAGGCCATTGGGGAGCTGATGCTGCCGTCACTATCCAGCCAAGGCACACGTGGCCTAGGTGCTACTGCTGCTTCCCTAGCCAAGGCACGTTTAGGCATGGGGGCTGGGTGCTGCTGCCCAAGTGAATGCACACCCATGTCCTAGGCATGAGGCATGGGCACAGGCATGTGCACAAGGAAAAGGCATAAAAAAAACCTCATCCTTAGAAAACACCTATGAGAGTAGCATCTTGGCTTGCCTTAGGGCCAAAGCAATGCTAGGCCTAGGAAAGGCAAGGCAATGCAAGGCCAAGCCAAGACAACAAGGCCAACTCAAGGCAACAAGGCCAAGGTCCAGGCATCATAAGACATGATAACGAAGGGTGGGCAAAGGCATGAATGAGATGGTTAATGGCACCATGTAGGCCTCCTAGGGCCCTTTGAAGGCATAATCTTATCATGTCCAAAAAATTTCTCCGCAAGCCAAATTTGAAGGCTATAATACACAAAATCGGACCACTTTCAAAGATTTCGTTACCCGGTGTAGAAAACTAAAAAGGTGGCAAAGGATACATCCTAGGTTCATATAATGTAGTTTTGAACCATATACGGTCACTAATCAGCCACATAGAGGCACATGGTGGTCTTGAGTAGAAGGGAGACGTGTGCGTAGACGACTACATCGACACTTTAAAGACAAAGTCAATGGCACCAACCTAGAAAATGGCCTTTGTGGTGTTGTGGAGTTCATAAAAAGCACCCCAAACGTTTATCCTTTTCGAGTTAGGAAATGTTGAAAATTACCCAAAACTGAAGACTATAAATCTATAATCCACACTTTAGGATCAATTTCAGAAAATTTTCCCAAAATTAAAGTGATCGTGTGGGGTGTCACCAGGGTCATATAAGTTGGTTTGGAACCATAAGAGGTTTACCAATAAGTCTATAAAGTCCCAAAAATGACATTGAATTATGTTCATTAGTAGTCAAGAGCTGCAAGAGATGGTTCGTAACACCAACTTCCTATACCAAGGTCCTAAGTATCGAGAATCCTCCATTAGGTCATCAATTATATCCAAATTCATTACTTACTATACATACCATTATAATTTTTATGCATGCATGTATTACATAGGTTTTGGAATCAGGGGTAATGTTTTGGTTTGCCTCAGGGCCAAAGTAAGGCAATGCAAGACAACACAAACCAAGGCAACGCAAGGCCAAGCCAAGGTAACAAAGCCAACTCAAGGCAACAAAGCCAAGGCAAGACATCTTAAAATATGATACTAAAGGGTGGGCCAAGGAATGAATGAAATGCATTTTGGGCACCAAATAGGCCTCTTGGGGCACTTTGGAAACCCCTCAAAACACCTCAAAGCATAATCTTGCCAAGTTTAAAAAATTCTCCGAACTTCAAATTTGTAGGCTATAATACACAGAATTAGACCATTTTCGGATATTTTGGGACTGTGTTAAAAACTCAAAGGATGGTAGGAGATGCATCCTAAGGTCATATATTATTGTTTGGAACCATAAACAACCACTAGTTTGTTGCATAAAAGCTCGTGGAGGCCATGAGTGAATGAAAAAGGAGTATGCATGAACGGCTAATTTGATAGTTTAAAAACACAGTGGACAGTTCCAACTCCCCAAACGGCCTCTCAGGATGTTGTTGGGTCCATGAGAAGCACCCCGGCCTCTTTCCTTTCCGAGTATAAAAAAGTAAAAAATTATTCAAAATTAAAAGCTATAATCCAAGCTTTCGAATCAATTTATGGAAATTTCCCCAATATTATATTGAATGTGTTAGGTACCCCAAAGGGTCAAATAAGTTGGTTTGAAACCATAAAAAGCCTACCAATTGGTCTATATTCTCTATAAGTCCCAATAATGAGTTTGGTTCAACTTTGTGGCTATTTTGAAATTATGTTATATTGGTAGTCAAAAGCTGGCCATGATGATTCCAATCACCAATTTGGCATCCCAAGATCCTATTAAGGTATCGAGAATCTTTTATTGGGTTTTATGTTGTTAATACGTGCATGTATTACATAGGTTGTTTACATCATACTATACTATTCCGTACTATACTATCGTATATAGGTGTTGTGTTTGTTACTCTAACACCAATCTATGTTAGACTTTGGTTAGTTGTTTACAATTGTACACAATGAAGTCAATCAAGCCTTTTTTTGATAAAAAAAGTATCCATAACAATGGAACATGATCTCATGGTTGGAAACAATAATCATTATTGATGATAAATCAACATATTTGCAATTGTACATCTACAATAAGAGGCTTCCAAAGCCACTAAGGCATTCCATAAAGACACGAAAGATGCATGTTTTTTTAACTCTAGCATTCATACTGCAACAACTTTCCAAACTCCAATTAGTGAAAGGTATCAGAAGATACCAAGGACAAAAATGATACCTGCATACGTGTCCGGGCCAGTTCTATGGGGTAACAAGTAATACATGCCAACGTGCGAGCAGCAGATCCAGCTACTAAAGGAGAATATGGACTCAAACTGGAAGCATACTGCTCAGTAAGCTCCTCTAGAAAATTCCTCAGCATGTCATAACAAGGTAAGTAGATTCCCACCTACAATTAGAGAAAAAAAAAAAAAATCAATAATAATTTCTTTCAGATGGAAATACACCCAAGCCTTGCAAACAGGAAATACTTACAGTGGGAATGGCCAGTGCTAAGCTAGCATTTGTACCTCTCCACAATCTAGAGAATCCTTCCTGCACAATCATCCCTGTAAGAGCTCAATAATTATTAACAAGATTCAACAGCCAAGTAAGGAAAGGTAAGAACTGGGGGAGGGGGGGGGACATACTATTTAATTTCCTAACATATCCACTAAGAAGCCCAACAAATAGTTATTGCATTACTTAACTATAGTCAGCAGATCACGAATAAAATCTGACGAATTGACTTGTAAATCCCACTAAAAAAAACAAAAATGCTATAATTTATATGTAATTCACACTCAATCAAGGTACGCTGCAACCATTAAGACTTAAAAGGCAGCATGTTGGTAACAAAATACTTGTTGCACTAAGAGGGGGAAAAACCTAAGACAGAGAAAAAAAAAAAAAAAATATATATATATATATATATATATATATATATATATATATATATAATTGCATCTATTTTGGTAAATACCTCACCCCTACCAATCACAAGCACCTTCACCTAAGACAAATAAAAATTAAACCTTTAATGAAAATGCTTAGTGTATACATGTTCTAACAACAGGGGGGAAAATGTTTGACATTTTGTTAACCAACACATGAGCATGTCATCCAAAAACAACTGTTTGCTGACCTGGCGTGTGACTTTGAAGAAAACATCATAAGTTCCTTTATATCGAGAACATTCACGAGAGCATGTTGATCCATCAGCACGAGTTATATCATTGTGTGGCTGTGTAGATCTGGGGTTTTGAAGCATCTGGGACAACAGTTAAAAAAACCTGGATAAGTTAGAAGATCAGCTCCAAAGGCGACCAAAAGACACAAATATGCAAGACCGCTAAATAAGAGGTCTATCATCCCCAATAAGAGGGCTAGCAACAGGCTTTGGACAGGATAGGACCAGCCAAAATAAATTTACATCAATCCTTGTCTCTAAATTTAAATCAATCCTAGTCTTTAAGTATGCCATTAATTAGAGCATACTGACTTTGTCAAAATGCTAAATGAACCGACTATGCTATAAAGTATCCATAACACTTACATACATACCTCCTATGTCGATGAATAAGTCTCTAGCATCAGAATACATATATATGAAAATATAACTGCTCTTAGTATTGACTGGAGAAAATGAAATCTTACTTCTCTAGTATAAATTATAGAGATCTGTGCTTTAAGCTTAATGCCTACCTCAAAAATGTATAATCTCAATAAGTGAAACATAGAACAGCATCTGGGTCACCAAATATCTTATACATGAAATGGAAGTTTGGCTATTCAAAGATATACAAAATTCAATCATAATAAAAATTATACAAGCTTGAGGGGAGGAAATTTAGCTCTATCGATAAGTTCCTAGCTACTAGTCATTTTTGCTCATAGTGTGGCAAGTGTATTGTAGGGTTGTATTTAATAGTGCCAATTCATAACAAAATTTGCCACGTTATTTCTAATTACGGAAGAAAAAAAATACCGTATTTGTTTCAGTGTAACATGCTGGATCACATTGATTTTGATAAGGGACGCCAGCAGCCTGTGCTTGTAACCTTGTCTGCACATATAGACATATAAAAGGCATTATAACATTGTTGTGAAGAACATCATAGTTGATTGTATCCACTGACATGCAAAAGATGACATTACTGAGAAGTTTGATAGCCGACGTTATTAATTCCTTACACGGATGTCAGAAATAAGAGAAGGGAATACTAAACAAAATTTCTCAGTCACTTAAATCCAATGTTAGGTTTCTCACTACCATAACACTGCAAGTTGGTACAAGCAATATGGATTATGTATATGACCTACATAACAAATTGCTTAAGGCCAAATTACAGGTTGCTATAGATTATAATAAAAAGAGAAGGAAAGCATAAAACACTAAACAGAGATTAAATTATTAACGGGAAGAAAAAAAAGAAAACGAAGAAAAACAAGGTGGGAAAAACCTCCAATGCTCCAACTTACTCCATTCTCATTAAAAATTCATGAAAAAACTTGTGTGATTCTCTATATTCCTAATATATGACAGGTTTCGATTAGTACCTCATATAAGCTGTTTCTGCAACTCATTATCCAGGTTTCAACATTATAGGAGCATGGGTTATGAGTTTATGACTCATATGAGCTTAAAGGTATGATCACAATACGATACATTCCTATTAGACATAAAAAAAATTTAGGATAGAGATGAACCACAATTGAGACAAGTTGCATACAAGCATCAATGTGCACACAACTTAAAAACAGCATGAGCCATACACATTCTAGAATTCTTATCAAAATCATTCAACCCATACAATATTCCAGCCTTCTCTGGTATAATAGAAAGGAACCACCTTGAACGAGTGAAAGGTGAACCTTCATAAATCAAGTCTCCAGGACACAGGAGAGGCAAATCCATATATAATCAATAGAAATGCAACTAGCTTGCAATTACTAGAAGAATTTGATCATTTTTCCAACCAAGAGAGCAGCCAGTGGCCCAGTGCCATACTAGCTGCATGAACCAGACCTAATGATATCATTGAGTCAACAAATGATATCATCTTGTACCAGTACATCAATTAAAGCCGTTAGTCCTTGCTGTATATACAGGAATTGTCACTACATAGTCTAACATTCAGGATACTATGTATGAATGGAGGAGAAGACCTCGTGTCGATGCATTAACTTCGGCACTAGACTTAAGTAATTCCATTGAGATTTTCAACTTGCAAAACACACATATACACCTCAAAAGTCCTAGCATAGAAACCTACCAGATAAAAAGATGAGGAAACAGTCAACTACATGAACTGTCAAGTTTATCAATGAGAATAATCTTCATTTGCTAATTACACCTCTACCGACGATAAACTAAACAACTTCGATTCTAGCTGAAATAGTTATAATGTTTAATGTATAACTGAGTTTGAGCAAATGCCTGCATCATCCAACAAACAAACTCGGAAGTAAAACTTTCGTTTGTACAATAAACTACTTGATACGAATGTAGAATCAACGAATTCCAAATATATAGGAAAATTCAGCACATCGGTGCTCAAATTACAAAATAATCTAACCTAATCAGGAAAATAATTATGAAAATCGAAACATTAGCTCAATTAATAAAATTGAGGCTATTCAAAATAAAAAATAAAAAAATAAGAAAATTGTATTACAATACACAAATTTAAAATGCAACAGAAACAGTAAGAGGAATAGAGGAAAACCTTGGCAACGTCAAGAGGATTAACGATGAGAGCGGAGATGACGGCGGCGGAAGCGGCGGAAATCGCACGCTCACCAAAACCTATATTGAAATCAGCTAGGGTTTTGATTCTGGAATCTTCATCATTTCCTAATCCTAACATCGATTGATCAACATTTTCATCAAATTCAACTCTATTCGTCGCCGCAACAGCACCTAATCGTGTTGGTAAAGTGTTCCTCGCACCTCCCATCGAAAATTTCGAAGAAATTCTGAAATAATTTCGTGTTTTGAAATGTTGATTGAAATCAGTAATCTGGAAATTTGGAGTTTGAGTAGAAATTTTCTGGAAATGGGAAAGAGGAAGAAGATGAGAGAGAATTGTAGGAAAGAGAATGGTGGCGTGGAAGGAAGGGCGCCAAAGAATAAAAGTGGGAATTTGATTCAGCGTCTGCGTGAGAGAGAAGAATCGAAGAGGTTGATATATTGACGTGTTCGCATGGTCATTGCATGCGTAGGCGGTTAAGGAGGATTGTGTGTGGTGTTGTGTTGCCACCCAAAATTGTCTAGAACCATCGTCAGTACTCACTAGGCACAATATTACGTCACTCATTTTTAAATTGGATGGGTCATGGACTCATGGGTGATATCATGGGTCCATATTTTATAGTTAAGGTCCAACCTCGTCACATAAAAGGCTAATAGTACTTCACTCCTTCTACCCATTCTTTGATGCTTGCGAGGATTAAACCCGTCCTCAAGAGAGGTAGAAAGTGGTCGTCAGGGGGCAGATGTAAGATTATTAAGTTTGTGGGGCGTTTGTAATTGTCGGTCTGATACGTGTATATAATTATTTTATATTTACTTTTTCATTTCGTACATAAAAAAGAAATAAAAAATTGAAAATTGATAGGACACATGTCACCCAATACACTTATGGATCTTATATGAATATAGGAGTAGCTTAGTGGTGGCCATCAATTGATTTGGGTTGCGTTGGCCTAGGCTATGATTGATGTGGACTAGGCTAGGATATAGTGATCCAATATCAGGCCATGATGATTCAAAATTTGGGTTAGGTTAAACTTTAGCATGTGCTGGCAAAGTCATGAGTCAATTGGATTTCGTTTTGGGTTAGTTTGGTCGATTTACGGGTTAAAATCTTTTTTCTAAATGTTTATTTGGAAGACGTTTTTAAGAGATTCATAGGCTTACATTTAAACTCGCAACACCCATCTTGGAAGGCAATATGTGTTGGGCTAGTGTTAGCCATTGGGCTGTGACCATGTAAGATCAAGATGGTCAGTTGCTCGTGTCCATCGACCTAGTGGTCATCGTTAAGGATATGTTTAGTGTACCTTATTGGTTATTTTAGATTAGATCAGGCCGAGAAATAAAAGAAGTTTAGATTGGAAAAAATAAGTTAAGATTTAATTTATCGTTTTATGTACCATTTGTTTACACGTGAGTAATCATTATTTCCGATTTAACCTTTCACATACAAATTAATTAGAATAGTAAACTAATTACAATAATAGATAGATAGTTACTATTGAGTTGAGCTTAATTAAAACCTCAAATTAATCTCACTCACCCAAATTGAAAACCCATGTTCAAAAATTGACCAACTTGAGGGGGTCCCTTTAGTAATGATCCAATAGGGTGAAAGATCTAAATTCTTAACAAGATGCAACAGTGAGAAGTTACTATCATTAACTATTGATGATGGTACTAATTCATAAAGATAGCATTAGTCACCGAAAAAAGAGACAACACAAAGTAGTTAATTACCTCTGACAAAGTCATCCCCAAGTTGAATGTTCACAAATGCAAATGGTACGCAGTATTTTGATAATTCTCCGACAAAGAAATTTACAATGGTGTAGGCCCACGGGCCCACCATTAGCGTGGGCCTACACCATTAGCTGTCAAAGAACAGCCTCAAAAATCAAGCCCAAGATTATGCTCGCAGCTTTTGGGCCCATTACCCGCCACCATTTTTTTTTTCCTTTTTATTTTAAAATTAAATGTTTTTGAATTAAACTCCAAAATAAAGTGATTGGTCCCAGGAGCGTGCTTATGTGATTCTGTGAATATGCAGCAGCAACTTATGGATTATTCCAGAACCCAAACGCAGCGTACTTTACTACTGTTTTAAGAATTTTACTGTTCATCATAATAATAATAATTAAGTGCTGTTAATTTTTTTTGTTTGTAATTAACAATTAGGGAGAGACAAATATTGGAGAAGGAAGAAGAAGATTTGGGAGGACAGCCGACAAAAAAAGATTGCAATGCCTAATCACAAGTTTGTTATCAAGGACCAGAATTCTCCTCCGTGCACTTTTTTTGGTTAAAATTTGCTGACTAGGATATACAATCCTACTCTTACCCAACCCCCATGTCATTCTAATTTTTAATGTACAGATGTACTCTCTTCTATTTTTTTATTTTTTTTCTTTCCACTTGTCTTACGAAGTATTTATAGATTTTTCAGTGTTATTGATACTCGACTGGTTTAACTTAACGTGTTTACATATATATATTGGCACTAAGCTAATACATGTGTGTGAATTTTGATCAATGAGGATAGAGCTCTTCCATGATCAAAGTCATTACCTTGTTAGATGCAAATTGTTGTATATTTGCATACAATAATATGAACCTTTGCACCACCATCAATCTTATGGATTGGCAAAGCATGCAACTATGCAAGGGTAATAGTCATGTACATGCGATGTAAAGACCTCTCTTCTATCTTGTAAAACATTGGTACGTAATTTTAACTAAACACTTATAACATACAACACTAGCAACAAATCTCAAGAACGGCTACATGATTAGCCATTCAATGACAAATACTAAAGTCGAAATTACACCTGGTGGTCCTAAAAGTGCATAATTGCTCTTGTAAACAATTTGGATCTCATGACAGCCAACGTGTTGCGAAGAACACATTTTGTGCATTTCACAATTCACAGGACAAAGAACCAAGAGAACATGTGCTCAAACTTTTAATTAAATTAAGGACAATGAGTTATCCCAATCAAAGAATCCTAACCACTTGAAAAGGATTGGATTTACAAGGAGAAGATTTAACGAACATAGCAAAGTACCTGACTAGTTGCTACCCGATACGGATTATGCAATTAAATTTCATTAAATTAGATTGGTTTGTATACAAAAACCATATAATATTGCATGCATACATAATAATTGCAAATACATAAAACCAAAAAAGAGATACAATTTGTTAAAAGAGACAAGAGTTAGAGAGGACCTTCCCCAAGATTATAAGGTGGAGCCTGCTATGATTATTCATTAATCTTTGTAGGGTTTATAGGAGAAATTTTAAGGCCAAATAATTCTGAACAAAATTTATAAAAGCTCTTATTATGTAGATAAAGTGCATTACAACTTGCTAGTGGAGATCTAATTTGCCACCCCATTCTCAACAGTAACTAGACATTGTTGCTTCCCCTTTTTGTGTGTTAGTATGTATTTGACCAAAAGGTTTATTTTTATAAATGTTATTCTTGTTTTTTGTTCGAGTTTATTTAGCTAATCTTGCATAAAATCAGCATACAATAAAACTGATCCATAGATAATATTTAGGAAATGTTTATAAGTTGGTATTTTTGATTTTTTTTTTTTTTTTTTTTTTATAGGTTTAGAGGTGTATGTGAATATGTGATTTTGACTAATACGAAGTATTATTAATTTTGTACATATATAATATTATTCAATATGAAGTACTATACCAATATTTTTTAAATAACTTTGTTTGACATAGTTGGCTAGGGATTAAAGTATCTAGTTAGTGATTTTCAAATGAATTGATGTGGTTGGGGGTGGGATTACCTTCTCTTCAACTTTCAAGTACCATGGATCGATCAAGTGCATTGTTGTTGGATAGCAGGGTCCTTGAATCAAACTCATTTCATTACCTACTAGGCAATAAAAAAAATATCACAAAGTTATTGAATATTGTTCAGTCTACTGGTTGATGCTTGATAGTTGGTTACGATGACCTTACAATCATGACATCAACATCTAACTGGACATTTTACAAGGTGACATCTCTCCAAAGATGATTAGATTTAATCAATTAAGTTGAGAGTAACTTTAATAGTAACGTCTATACCTAAATTCCTGTAATGTCAAAATAAATCAACACATTACTCGCTCACATTAGTCCAAACACCCATAATTTAAGTTAATATAACTATAAATATATACCGGAGTAATAGTATATTTTTCATTTAATTACTCATGTATAGAATATATATAAGTAGCGAGTGATAGTATATTTTTCATTTAATTTACTCATGTATGGAATATATATAAGTAGCAGGTTAATAATATACTTGTACAGTGTAGCTAGTAACTACACATAAAAACATCAATCAACTCGTAAAAATTTAGCAAATCTCTAGTAACTTTAAGTAATTATGACCTAATTTGAATGTTAGATTCTTCGAAACAAGGATTTGCGTGATTAAAAAGCTATTGTAGCTTGAGTAGCAAGGTGATGGGTTATAACAGTTTAATTCAGTAAGATATGAAAAAAAGCAGCCATCATGTCTAGGATTTTCTGGAAAAAGAATACCCTACATACTCTAGGCTATAAAACATTTACCACAAAACAGTAACAAAAATTGTACTGTATTAAGAAAACCTGTTTCTGAAATTCTGAGTATCTGAATTTACCTCACATCACCAATTCCAAGGTAAAATTTTCCTGATTGTTGCTTAGTTTTCAATAGCTGTTATTTATAGGTTTCCACAGAAAGTAGGGTACAGTACAGTATAACCAGACAAGTACAGTAGATATATGCAGCAGTTTGAGAAGGTAAAAAAATTAATTTTTTACTGTGTTACAGTGCTGTAAAAAATGGTCAAAGACAGTGGCTGAAAACAGTTAATATGCCTTCCTTGTTACAAGTAGTTGAGTGGTGAGGTGAGCTCTACTACCAAAGTTTGCACCCGAAGAAAAAAACCAAAACCACAGAAAAAGGAAGGGCATGCAAGTTGCAACACATTGGCCAATATCACCTTTGTTCACAGGTTTACACTAACACCACTGTTTCCAACTCTTTTTCCAATTTTCAAACATCATCATCAGTGGATTAACATTTTAAGCATTTTATTTATTTTTAAGGAATATTCAAAATACAAAATAAAAATTCATCTACTTATTTATTGTTGCTTGGCTGCCAAGGAGTATTTATTTCTAGAAAGTTGAGGGAGGGAAGATGATTTAGGTTATAATGGGGTACTTGTCAAACATATATATTATATTCCATTCTTTAAAATTTGAGTAAATCTTTGAACAATATTTAGAAGTAAAAATACTCGTATTATGTACATTGTTGGCAATTTTATTTAATGATATGAATCTAAGGTTTAGTCGGTATTCTTAGATTAGTTCGTCAACTTAATGTAAAATGGGAATTAAGGACCATATGACTTATGAGAGATATTATAGTAAAAATGCTTCTTAAAAAAAAAAAAAAAAAAAAAAAAAAAAAAAAAAAAAAAAAAAAAAACATATTACCTACAAAAAATGGAGAGGTAAATGGGTAATACTTAAATAGTTTAGTCTTTAAACTTCGGTTAAAAAAATTTAAATGTGCATATGGCTTTATTCCAAATTTCCAAGTGGCAACAACAGTTAGAACCAAATGTTGTTCTAATCAAAACCATATATATAACTTAATTTTGTATTTCGTATTTCACTTTATTTAAAGATACAACATATAATTAACTCTTTTTTTCTTATCTTTGAATCAATTTGCAATTTTTTTTTTTTTTTTTTTTTTTTTTTGCACATTCAACTATTACATGATTTAATTTTTTCACTTGGTTTATTTATAACAAATAACTTATGTTTTTAGATGGAATAGGAAGGGGTGATTACAATAAATAACTTACGTATTAGTGGTGAATGTTAAAACGTGTCAAACTGTCAACTACAAATGAAATATACTTCTATCAAAACAAACACCAAATAATTTCTTCCAAATTACAAACTCAAATCCAATAATATTCACCAATTGATTAAGCATAATTAGCATATAATAGATTTAATTAATTATTAGTACTAGCTTAATTTTATGCACACTTGGAAAAGCTAAGAAGATAGTAGGTGATCATTAATAACAAAAACCTCTTCTATATACTACTAGCCTAATACTAATAGTACTACAATTAATAATAATAACAAATATAATTTAGATAATTAGCTACCATTCTTTCTTAATTACCCACTAATATTAGCTTAGGGAAAAACTTTGAACAAAATCCCTTAAAATTACTTATATTAATTAATTTAATTATTAATTAATATAAGAAAATCCGACCCCAAAAATCGTTGACCGAATCAACGAGCAGCTTCCACACTCACAATAGATAATCATCAACTTCACATTTGGTTGTGGTTGAGAAGAGGAAATCTGGACCGTCGAAATCAAAATCGCCGGAAAAATCCTCGAGATCACCATGATCAAACGACGTATAATCAGGAACAACATTATTATAATCATCAAGTATGGTTTTAGACGCGTCATCATAACTAAACAATCCATTCAAAAACCATGATATATCCAACTCCATCTCACAACTTTCATTTACCGGTAAACTCATCACCTGATCTTCCGGTTTCCGGTCTCCAACAAAATCGCAACTACTACTGCTAGTTGTGGTGGTAGTACTACTACTTGCCGTGGCCCCACCTCCAATTTCTTTCATTTTTCTATTTTCTCTCTCCTCTACGTCATCTTGTCCTTGATGACACCGTAGAACAGAGGTCGGCGAACACAGCCTCTGACACACCTCATCCTCCTCCTCGAATTCATCGGAAAGTGACGTCACTCCGATTTCCGGCAACGGTGGTCGGTGAAAGTTGGTCTGAGCGAGGGGCCCGCGTAGTCGGAGAGCAGCTTTGTCGTAGATCACGGCAGCTTCTTCGGCTGTATCGAATGTTCCGAGCCAAAGCCTTGCACGTTTCACCGGATCTCGAATCTCCGCCGCGTATCTCCCCCAAGGACGTCGCCGGACTCCCCGATATTTCCGGGTATTCTCGTTTTGAACCCGCTTACCAGATTTCCTCTGTTTTCTGGGCTGGGGTTGGACTTGGGCCACCGGCTGGGCCGGAATTACAGGACGGGTTATTTGAAATCGGATCTCGGAAACATGCTTTACAACACGGGTACGACAAGTGGGACCGTCATCTTCGTCACCGGAAGAGTCAGTAGCATCGTCATCTCTTACTGAAATTTTGACGATTTTAGGTGAAGGAGATGGAGTAGATAAATGGAGATGCTTGGTAGTGACACTTCGGTGTTCAGAGTATATTACCGATCTCATTATTTTAGGAAGTTTTATAGATTTGTTCACATGAATTAAAAGAAAAAAAAAAAAGAAATGGAAGATGAAAAGGAGTTAATTGAGTAATTAGCAGAGTAGAGGAAACGATAAACCCTGAAAAATGGGGGTTTTAGTTTAAAAGAGGGGAGATTTGATTTTGTGATAAAAAGAGGGGAGAGTGAAGTGAGTAGAAGAAGTAAATTAGGTGGAGAGGAGGAGAAAAATGGGGGAAGTGAGCATTTATAGGAATTAAGAAGTCAGCATTTTTGTAAATTAGCTACACGTGACATATGTTTCAAGGAGTATGTTTCAAAAATTAAAATAAAATAAAATTGGGTGTCAAGTTTTATGTTTTAAAGTTTTTTTTTTTTATTTTTTTATTTTTTTTTAACATAAAATTTGAGTCCAAGTATTTTATTCAATCTTTAGAATTTTATGTTTGCACAACTCTAGTTTTGTGTTTTTGACTACGGTTTATCTTTTATGAATAATACACCGTACGAATTGTTTTGACAAAATATAGTTATATTAGATCTTGTTGGATTTGAATCAATATAAACTTTGCATAATTTGTACAAAGATAATTAAAGAAAATATATTAATGATATAAGATTGTAATTGTATCAAGCATTACCATATAAAAAAGAATAATTGAAATCTTTTTTATATAACTATCTTTTTTTTGGTTTTTTGGTAATCAATTACATTAGATAATTATAGTTACTCCTAATCAGTTACTCTTATCAATTAATCATCAATATTCAATCAATATATATATAGGGTCGGGATCCGGTGAGAACCACCCTCTATGTGAGAACCCATCCCTTATTTGAGGACAAATCTCAGCCATTAGATTATATAAAATCCAACAACTGAGATTGTATTATATTTTCACGGGTCCTCCTTTCTCCTTTCTCTCTCCTCCTCTCCACTCTCACGTTCTCTCTCCTCTCCATTCTCATCTCCTTTCTCTCATTTCTCTTTCCTCCACTCCATTTTCTTCTTACGCATCTCTCCTCTCCATTGTCTTTGAAGCTTCAGAAGTGGCTCGCCGCCGATATTCTCGAGTGTGGTCGTGGTAAGGTTTGGCTTGATCCTAATGAAGGCAATGAAATCTCCATGGCTAACTCTCGTACGTTCTTTGTCTCTTCTTTGATTTCAATTTTCTTCGGTTTTCTTTTTGTTTTAGTTATTTTCAATCGGTTGTCAGATTTTATTGTTTTTCTACTTTTTCTGATGATTATCTAAATTAGAACCCTATAAATTCTTAAGGTAGTTGATGTAGTGCTTTTTTATGTGAATTTTTCTAGAAAATAGTGATCGTTTGATGTATTATTAATCGAATCGTAGGAAGTATTATGAAAACATCGTAATTTTTTGTGAATTATATTTGTTGATTGATTTTATTAGTGTTTATTCTAAAAACTTGAATTTGCACAAATGAGCTTTACAAATGACGATATATTTGCAAATTTCGGTTTTAATTTTGGAAGTATTATTTAATTGATCAAGTTGAATGTTTAGTTGGTATTATGAACAAGTTATATGCTATTATATTTACCTTGATGATTTTGTGATCTTGTAATGATTTTGTGAAGTTCGTTGGTGTTGACATGGCTTCATTATGAGTAAGAATATACAACAATTAAAATGTAATATTACAACAATTTATCAATGAAAATATATATTTTTAAAATTATTGAATGAACTTGCTATTGAATGAACTTGCAGCAATTGATTCTATCATTGAATCAAATGAATCTTTGGTTGGATATTTTTCAAAGGTATGCTTTGCTATTGCATTAATAGCTGTTGGGAAGCTTCGTCTTCTGAGACCCCTCCAGTTTTTTTTAGAAGTTTGTATTGTTTCTTCCTTTGCTGGTTAGGTTGTAAAGCTTTTGGACTATAGATTGTCATATGACCACTTAGTGTATTACTTAATTTATTGGAAAATGAGATGTGATTCTAATCAGAAAGATTCTATAAAAAGTTGCATTTATTTGCTAATTTTTCTTTCCTTTCTCTTACGATTTTACCTCATTAATGACTTTAAAAGTATGTCTATATTGGTGTACAAGATATGATTGAAGTTGTATATGATGCGCTTAGCTAATTAAAATTTCATCAATTTTTTGATGAATTTATCCTTTTATGATTTTGGCTCGAGTCCATGAGTTTATCCTTTTATCTGATTAATTTATGATCATGGCTTGGGTCCACTAATTTTATATAGCATTGTGGTGGTAAAAGTGATGGTGGCATATTCCTGCAACCTATCGCTGGCTTCGCTCATAAACTATGCAGGAAAAACACTTAGAGGAATCATATAACTTGGCTTGTATTCTTACTCTTCCTCCTTACCAGAGGAAAGGCTATGGCAAATTTTGTATTGCATTTTGTAAGCCTCCATCCTTAACAATTTTTGCGCTCTACTGCGTTACTTCACTGCTTCTTATTCTAAGGATCCACTGAAGTAAGGGCTGTTATGGTCTTACACAATAGGGAATCTATGCTCGGCATTTTGCTAATATATGCATAGCCATTTCTCTCTTTGTTGCTAACATCAGCTATGGTTGCAACAACTTATGAGCTTTCTAAGAAAGAAGGTAAGGTGGGCACACCTGAAAGGCCACTCTCAGATTGGGGCTGTTAAGCTACAGGAGATACTAGACACCGACACGTGTTCTTCTGGATATCTTGAAGAAGTATAAGAGAAACATATCTATCAAGGTTTGTAGAATGATAACCTTCTTCTATCTCATTGGTTTGTAGACTTGAAACATCTTAGGATCCCTGTGTCTATTTTTTAGTGTTTTTGACTAAAACTTTTGTACTTCTGTTTCATGCTCGATTGTGATGAATATGTGGCTTATTGTTCTGCAGGAGTTTAGTGACATGACAACCATCAAAGCAGAGGATATTTTGTCTACTCTCTAAAGTCTGGAGCTGATCTAGTATCGCAAAGGGCAACATGTCATATGTGAACTTATTAGCTCAATTGGTAGAGCACTATGAAAATGCATAGGGGATGTAGGTTCAATTCCTACATAGGTTACCTCTATAAACAAAATTAATTAAAAAAAATAAAAAATCAAATTCGTACTAAACTATATGAGCAAAAAAATGGTTTGAAATGATTTATAACTATATAAACTTTGTTACAATTGAACTCTCATACAAACTTTTGTTTCCACATTACATAAATGAACCTACGTGGGATTCGAACCCACATCTTTTGTGCATTTGCACAATGCTCTAACCTCGAGCTAGTAGGCTAACGTATTTAAAACATTCAAACACACTCATAAATGACCATTAATTTGACAAAATGAGCAAGAATCATTTGCTCATTTGACAAAGGAGCATTGAATTTTTTTGCTCATTTGACAAATTAATGCTATGATGAAGCTAGATAGGCTCTGATGATCAAAATTGTTTAGTTTGTGCTAATGCAAATGAGACTCGATCTTAGGCAGTGAACACATGATATTTGCTTGTAACTTTGTGAGTAGTTTATGATATGCTGTGATACAAGGAGTCAGGATGCAAGAGGACAAAAGTAACTCATATCAACTTTTAAAGCAGAGAAAGTCCTAGTATCAGATGGATACATGTCCAAATTCTAATGGTAACACGCAAGAAAAAGTCATAGAATCAGACTAAAACACTTGCATATTCTAATTACAACACACCAGAGAAAGTCCTAGAAACAAATAGATATATTTCCAAACATGAAAATACACTCATCAGTAAAAAAAATACTTGGGTACTCGTCTACTTTATTTGTTCAATTGTCAAATGAGCAAATAATTGTTTGCTCATTTTTGCTCATTTGATAAATGAGCAAAAAAGTATTTGCTCATTTATAAGTAAGCAAAAAATTAGTTGCTCATTTGATAAATGAGCAAAAAAGTATTTGCTCATTTGATAAATAAGCAAGCAATTATTTGCACATTTTTGCTCATTTGTAAAATGAGCAAATAGTTTGTTGCTCATTTGTCAAATGAGCAAACATTTCTTTAATCATTCATTAAATCAGCAAGCATTTCTTTGCTCATTTGTCAAATGAGCAAACATTAATTTGCTCATTTGTCAAATGAGCAAATAATTAGTTACTCATTTGGAAAATAAGCAAACATTTCTTTGATCATTTGGGAAATGAGCAATCACTTTTTTGCTCATTTAGCAAATGAGCAAATAGTTAGAAGCCCGCCTGATGAGCAGCCACTACATGTGAACCCATAGACGTAGCAAAATATATAAGTAGACCGTAGAAGCCCACCTGACACGAAATAGGATAGCTTACATAAACTGCAGTAAACATTTTACATTGACCATGAAAGATCAAGATTAACAAAATCAACCCCACCTTTCCTGCCAAAATTTTGGATTCTCCTAGTTTAAGCATGTGTTGCTAATACACAAAATGAATGCAACAAACTTTATGAGATCTAAATGAACTTTTGACCTGAAAAAATCAAGGATCACAACCGAAACGTAAAAGTACAAACACCCACAACAACTCTCCTGTTGAAACTACCTATCTGGTTGTGCCTAACCTCGCTCAAGTTGTTGATCGACTAATTTTACAAGATCTATTGTAGTCCATATACTTCAGGTCACACACAAGCAAAAAGGAATAACTAAACAAAAGTCTTCAACAAGAACTTCAAATTATTACTTGATAATTGCACAACACATCTAAATCACACTAGTTCACCATGTATTACAGCAATATATGACTGCAAGTTCACCAAGAATACCAAAATCTACACCAGTTGCAAAGGAAGATTTACAGGGGAGACAAGCAATACGTGAGAGACATCATAGTTGGTTAACTAAAATAGACTATAGGGTCCAAATCAAACAGTTATTGCCATAAGATTATCTTTGTTTACCGAAACAAAGTACACAAAGTCATATAACATAAACATACCCCATGTCAATGCGCTAATAATAGGTTTCACAAATAAAAACACGGGCATTTTCAAGAAACTCATCCCTTAGTGGAATAGTAGTATAATTGCCTTCTTCAACTCGTTTTCCAGGCCACAAATCATTTAGTATGACCTGAAAATCAGAAAAAGCAGAAAAAAGTGCGAACATTACATAAATAAGAGCAGTGAGCAGTCCCAAAACAAGTTAAGCCAAATAATGCTTGTATATCAAAAGTTGAAACAATGTTTATAACTACTACATCAAGCTATGGTGAACATGGACGTGAACATGAAAACTCAAGTTTAGACTAGTACTCCATTACTGTGCTCATGAAGAGATCTAAGATCACAACAAAAATTATAACAAGAGCCAAAAGCATTAACAAACATGAAAAATTCATTACATACCATCTTCTGAAACTTATGCTTAGACGTGCAAAAATAGGAGGATAGGGGGATGGAAGAGAATTGAGAAAAAGAAACTGAAAAAATCCACAAAGGAATGTGCAGCATAAGAGCAAAAATGTAAGTCCAAGAATAAGAAGAAAATTACTTCTTCGAATTCTCTCAACTTCTGTTGTGCCTCCTCAAAGTAATAGTTGACATAAAAGTCCCCCCCCCCAATTTAAACAAAATCCCAGATCTTAATTGTTTTCAAATCACGAAAGAATACAACTACTCGCAACAACCCCCATTTTGAACTATATACACACTTCAGAAGTTTAGATCATCTACACAGTAAACTTAAGCAACAAAATTATAGCCTCAATCAATTTCTTGCAATTATACTCAGATTTAGAGCTCTGAAATATTCACATTCAGATCCAACACCAGAAAACAAAAACACAAAAAAACAAAAATGAAAGAAAACTGAAAAAAAAAAAATCAGTGAGGCATTTCGTCGAATACCTTGTAAGCAGTCACAATTCTCAACTTCTTTGCATACAACATCAAAAACATAATCAGTCAATCACCCACATCACAAAAACATTCAAACAACCAAATTCAATAAATTCACAATCAAATTAATAAAATTGAAAAACAAAGATAAAAGAGAACCTCCAGAATTCTTCAACAGTAGAGAAAGTATAAATGGGTCAAATAGAGCTACCCCAAGCAGCTTGTTTTGATTTAGCAGTAAGATTATCGAACCAAAAAGTCCAAGCATTCTCAAGAGGATGAGTTGTTGCGATTGATTTGCTGGGTTTTTCGGCGTTTGAGTTGTCGTCAATAATCTTGCCTTCCTCCAAATCATCATCGTCTTTTCTCTGGTCTTCAATTTCAGTTGTCGCCAATGATTTCTCAAGCTCTTTTACTGTCATAGTATTGCTTCTCTCTCTAAAATCTTTCAAATTTGTTGGGATTTTCGATTTTCTAAGGAAGGATGAACTGAACGAGGAGAGAGAAAATTGTGCATGATAGAGGAAGGAGGAGAGAGAAAAAATGCATTTGACCGGGATTAATTGCGGCCGTTCGATGTAATTGATCCAACGGTTATAATGAGTCCTCACATATAAAAGGGTTCTCACATAAGGGATGTGGTCTCATATGATCCCATTTCTATATAATATAATAGATAATACGGATTACTATTATTTTAACTTGAAATAGAATGTGTCAGATTTTATGAGTATGATTGTAGGTACTTCGTAGTTTAATAATGGTCCGAGGTTGACGAAATATTTTGTACCAACTATATAATATACACATGTATGTATCCGTAGTTTGTTGCTTGCATGAATCTAATTATTTAACAATAAATCTTGCTAATATTTACATAAGACACAAATTTATGGATTAGTAAAGTCAAGTCTTGAGAATCACTATACCCTTTAAAACTTTACACGTTAATAAATATTATATAGTAATAAGATCGATTTCTACGAACATACAACATAATGCACACCAATCTTGTTAATACTATTTAGAGATTGATTTATATAAATATTGTGCCCACTCTTGGGTCCATATATTAGGTGATAATATATACTACAGCTAATATATATTAGCTCCAGAGCATTAATTCATGATTCATGAACAAATTTGACCCACCATTTTCCTAGTGTCTTCTATATAAAGCAACCACTTTGTTGCATAATTAGTTTTCAGAATGATATAATCGTTCATTCTTAAGAACAAATAGTCCACTTTATTATACAAAATTCTTTATTTATCAATAAATAAGATTTCAAGAATGTAGGCGCATGTTTGATTTGAGCATGATAATGATCCATGATATCTTTAAGTTATTAGTGGTGTTTGGGCCAATATTTTAGTATTTACGCAATTTTTAAATTGATGCATGCAGAACATGAAAATCAGCTAGTTCTTAAAGGGTCTCCACTATCCCCATTTTTTTTTTTTTTTTTTTTTTTTTTTTTTTTTTTTTTTTTTGCTCTCTAATTGTTTAGATTGACATATTGTTTTACTTCGTATAATTTTGGAGTAGGAATAATTTACGTATCATTGCAAATCAACACAATGATAAACTTAAAAGTCGACGTTGTGCTATTCAAATGTAGATAATTAATTTTGAAGTAGGAATTTACTTATCTTTGTAAATTTCCTAGAAGACAATTTCACGCAATACAAGTAGAAACAAAGGCAACAACAATCTTTAGAATTAGCATGGGATGGAAGATTTGTTTATTTCTACAATTATACATATAACTCGTACTTCGTACTTCTCTTATACATTAGTACATCACATGATTAATCTATGCATTAGCTACCCATGAAGTAGACAAATGAGAATGAACAATCCCGAAAAAAACCCTTAAATTAGACATGTCAATGCAAATCCTTCAAATTTTTAGGCAGTAACTCATGTCATTTAACAGTCTTTGTCATGTTATTGTAATTTTTGCAGACTAACCATTAAAAATCCCTAGTAAAACTTCCTAAAGTCTTATGGATTATAAATGAAAACATGTGCATCTTGTGAACTTACTCAGCTACCACATAAAACACATGCTTCTATATTTTATATTAAATTATAAAAAGAAATTTTGACACCTTTATCAAAAGACTAATTTAAGTAATAAAAAAATGTAAATAAAAATCACTAGAAGAAATGTCAAATATATTCCTCACAAATAGTAAAGACAAGGCACATTACTAGTATAGTTCATATACAAAAGACATCCAAACATAGGGAAAAATGCACTTTCAATGAGATCATCCCTTAAAGATAAGAAAAGTTGAAGTAAGTACAACCATGTTTCAAGTGAAGATAACCTCCCAATTTGTACATACCAATTTCAAAGTGTGTAATAAACGTGAACCCATTTAGCTTTGAGTGGAGTAACACAATATAATTTCATGTCAACTCATCTCAAACTATAGGGTCATTATTTATGAAGTAAAAGACACCCTTTTTTGAGCATCAAGAGGTCACTAAATTGGACTTATCTTTCTTTCTATTTTTAACACAACATTGATGTTAAGTGGTTCGATGATATGTTTTCTCCCTTTTATTGCTATACATTCAATAACATCTCGAATGTACCTACACTGTAAAAATAGTTGAAAAACATTGAAGCATGAACTTGAAGAAGATCGAATGATGTTGCTTCAAGGATATGAGAGTACGACACGTATTCTTTATGAGCAAAAATCAATCGTTTTCCAACATTCAAGTTTTTGGCCAATGTAAGGAGTATTGAATTCTACTTTAAATATTAAGGGGTATTTTGGCGGTTTGGGATTTTTCATGATAAATAGATAGCATGACAATTTTTGCGTGGATATGGATTGACATAGAACTTGAATATCAAATATTGTTCCATCCTTCCATATGATTATGATTTTAATTTATTGACATGAATGTAGGCTATATAGCATAGGTAGTGCCTAGTGGCATTATAAGTTATCACATTATTAGAAGATATAAGACATTGATATATAGTTTAAAGCCCATACTAATATGTAATAGCTTGCTTGACGAGAAGTGTACTTCCAATAGTAGTACGAAGAACTCCATACTACCATTATTGCCAAAGCTAGCAAAGCATGCTATAAGTCAGAAGAGTATTTAACACAATCACTAGGATTCTATGTTGGATTATAGCTTACAACTTGATCATGCATTACCTTAAATTAGGTCTTGCTCGATTGGTTGACATTTACATTAACACTTTTTTTTCCTCGAAGGATTGACCTATCCGCCTAAGGTATACTTCGTACTTCATAAATATATATTAAATCACTTGTTAATTTCAGAAAATTAAAGTGTGCATGCCTTAAAAAATATATATAAATTACACACACATAGGGTCAAGACAAATTGTATGTTTTGAACTGAAATCATTATTGATGTCTCATTAAGTCATGGTTGCCTCCATTGGTAGTAATTTTGGAGCCTACTACTCTACTAGTGTCTAACACAAGCAGCACATATTAAGTGACACATCCAATGTTTTTCAATCCTTGTTTTTGTTAGTGACAAAACAGGGACAACAATCAGGCACTCACAGATTGTATTGCTTCATATGAAGTTTTTTATTAAGGTGATGTTTAATCAAATCTACGATGTTTTTAGTTTTAAGGTGTGTACTTGTATTGGAATTCTTGATTTCTTAGGAATTATATGTAAGTACCGTTTGACTATATATTATTAATAAAATCCCTTTTTTTCTTGTAAAAAAAAAAAGAAGGCCATCTCACTTCTATGGCACATGATTCATGTATCGGACAATGTCTCTTGCCAAATTATAAATGGGAAAATTTGTATTGTGCCTTTTCTCCCTCATGATAGACTTTCTTAAATAAATAATAGTTCGTATAACTCTTTCTTATCTCTTTTGATTGTAATGTACTTACTTTTGTATAATTTATATATTTGGTAATATTTTGTACAGTATATTATTGGTTTATTTTCATTATATATACTTCGTATTATTTTAAGTATAAATTTTCAATTTTGTTCATGATTCATCGTCTTCAATTCTCTATATTCTATTAGTAGGATTTTGAGGTATTTTGGGAGATACAATTTCTAAAATTGAAATAATTCACACATGTGGACAGATTAGAATTTGTTTTACGTACATGATCATTATTCATAACTAGAGAGATGTATAAATGTATATAATTATTTGTATATCAAATTAAAATAAGTGCTTTGTATATCTTAAAATGGAATTAATTTTAAATTTACAACTAATATCTTAAATTGTTTTACACAAAATACATTATTTATACTCTGCAATTTTCTTTATACACAACCCTTAAATCCTAATTCTCATTTAAAATTTTCAAGTTTATGTCGTTTCACTACCATAATAGGCCAAGAGAATTTGCCTTTATGTGACATACATTGTCTAGATGCATATAATTGAACGCTTAAAACAAAACTAGAATGATAATGAGGCCACTAAAATCTTAAAAAAAAAAAAAAAAAAAAATTCAGGATTATATTGAAGGAGTCAACTTTGGACGAGGTGAAGAAAATGCAAAGCAAATAAAGGGGGTTAGTCCAATAATTATATAATTAATATTGAATAAGTTGGCCATTAATTTCCTTGTTCAATTTGTCTATGTTGGAAACCTTGGGGTCCAAGCAAGTAGGGGTGATGTACACATAGATAAATACCCTGACACTTATTGGTTCCCGTCGCTTTCTTTGGCGCTTGTCATTGGTTTATATATCTATCAAACCTTTTATCTTTACTCTACTATATTTAGTGAAACGTGGGAAGACTTTTGTTAAGAGTTTACTTGCTACATCTTCTACTACCATTTACTCTAAGTTGAATCTTGACTTGACCAATTTCTTATGATTATAGCTATTCAATTAGATAAAGACATGGAGTTTGATTATAAATTTTTACTCCATCTTGAATCTTTATGATGTTTACTTATGTATCGGTTAGTTTAACTAGTGATGAAAATAGGTTCAAATATAATTTGAATGGTAGATAATGATCATAATAGCCCTTTCTTCAAATTTAATAGTCATATAAAAACACTATTTTAGCATGCATGTTATGTAGATATGTTACTTATTCTCGTTATACTTAAATATACCATTAATTTAAGTATTTGACTGTCTAATTGATTAGTTTTCAATTCAGAAGCTTTAATTTTATTCCACAAGACATCCATTCAACAACAAGATCCCTTATACAACCAATCATTCATGAAGACTTGGTTGGTATGGCTCAACTACTACAATTAGTCCTTTTGTATATGATTGCTTCTTATTCAAGGCTCTTAACATAGTTTGTACCAAAAAATTAAAGGATAATAGAAATGGCTTTACATGACAATCATAAAAGATTTTTCTAAATATCAGGTGATATCTTTTTAAGCAAATCATTAAAAATCTTTAATAACAAAAAAGTTAGGAAAATATGACGCCTTTTTCTTATAATTTTTTTCATTTCCAAAGGTTCTATACCTAAGAAGTTTGTGAGAAGGAGCCCTAATTTGTGGGAAAAATTTAACGACTTCCTATTGGTGTTTTTACCTTTACACCAAGTCAACTAAATGCTTAGATTAGTAGTATACTATGATTAATTAAGGTAATATACCATTTTACTAATAATTATTAAACAAATGAAGAGATCATCATATCAATTACAGGTATAATGCACAAAGGTGGAAGTGTACCAAATAAAGATAGACATGAAAAAAAATTGCTTAAGGTCATTCATTATTGGAGCTTGCATGGAGTCAAAAGCCTCTTTCACTTTGATTGAATATGGTTTCTTTCTGCTTGTCCTTCTTATAAAGTTTAAAGAAAGGTTGACTGAAAATACTTCTACTCTTCGAGAAGATTGCCCAACAGATAAGGTTAACAAAATGCCCAGATATATACAATAATACAAGTATAATCCTTTTAAGATCTTTTTAATATATATAATTTCTACAAAAATCTGATGAATTATGACAATAAAAACTATACTTGTAATTATTATTGAAAACATTTTGGATTGGAGGACCGAGGAAGTAAGTTTTTGGGAGCGTTCTTTTTTTTTTTTTTTTTTTTTTTTGTGTATTTAGAGAGCCACAAGGGCAATTGATGAGAATCGATCCCGATATCTTCTGAAATCGAGAGGGAAGCTCTAACCACTTGAGCTATCCCTCACTCTCTAGGAGCGTGTTTATGCGCTAGTAGTCATTAGTATTATATAAAAGTAGTCTCTCTAAATCATATACGGAATATAAGTCAAGATTATAATTCCTTTGTTTTCTTTTAAATGCAACACTTCTCATTTTACGCTTGTCAATGCGTAATTTCAATCATTAATACCTTTAATTACAAATATGAAAAATTATAAAAAAATTGATACTAATAAACTATAAAATGAGACGAATCTAACAAGATTTCACATTACTATATTTTTCCTTAAGTATAAATTAGAAAAGCTAGTCAAAGTGGAGTATGAATAGTGTAAACGTCTAAGTGTTGTATTTAAAAGAGAACGGAGGAAAAAGTATAATGGTAAATTTTATGTGACATAAGCTGACAAGGCCCATTACATGCAAATACAAATAAACAACACATCAAGTACATGTAGCAATGTACAGAAAACAGTGATTTTTGTAACATGATTAAATCGAGATGCCGTGTCCTAATTCTTAACTAATCCTTAGATCTTGCTGCAATAAAATTCTTCTATATGAAGTTATCAAGAAATTAACCAGATTATCATTAGTCAATGGAGTTGTTCATGGGTTTGGAAGTATACTTTATGTTAAAAATTACACTGATAGCTAGTAATCGTGCTACTAATGATGCCAAATTGTATTGGAGAAAGGGTCTGTTTTAGTTTATAGTGTTGTGCTTTCTGATTGAAACAAACACCAAACTCTTATGAACATTCAACCGACAATATTGACCATAAACTTAGTGTATTTTTGAGTGGTTGGTTTTTAGAGTGGAGATTTTTTATGCATCCCCATTAACCTCTATTGTTGAAAAACTGTCTTCTTAAATAGATCAAAATTTCGAATAAAAAGAGGTGGGAACTTCTTTAAGGTTTCTGATTGAATGAAAGATTAAATTTGTCCTCAACAAGTTTTTGATCGATTCAAATAAGACCAAGTTGCTTATGTTTCCTCCTCTCAAGAACACCTTAAAGAGGTCATAGACGGGGGCCCGCCTCGAGGAGTAATTAGAAACTAATGATAACAGCAACAATTGAGCAAAGAAGGTTTAATTGGACACCTGCAATGTCATTTCTTAGCACGGCCACATTAGGCAACCAATATTGACGGATTCAGTGGCCTATAACATCACATCATTACTCATTAGTTCTTGTTGTTTGTATTGGACTTGAGAGCTTTAGAAGATTTGAGCCTCTAATAATAAGGTCATTTTCAGGGTATTATCTCCACTCCTAAATGTTTGATTAGAAAATAGAAATCACCAATTTATGAGTTGATATGAAATACCACAATTATTCTGTCCTTCAAATGTTAGAAGTTTTAGTATCTATCATATGGGAAGTGGCCCACTGTTTTAGAGGAACTTACATATAAAAAATAAAAAAATTAAAAATAATAATAAGAATTTGATTACACATATTACTAGTAGCAGCACTTTTCAATTTGATTTCCTGTTACGGTGAGAATGCAAGATTGTTTTGTCAAAATAAGAAAAGGAAGTGCAAGATTGTACCCAGAAATTTCAAAAGATATGGTAGGAAACCGAAAAGAGGTGAAAATTTTGCGAAACATAAAACTTCTGCCCTGATGCTGGGTGAAAATATTCTAAAGATAAAACTTCGGCCCTGATTGCTGGATAAAAATTTTCCGATCAATCTGCAAGAAGCGGACAAGAACATATTCCAATCCCCAATCCTACATAACGTGCAGTAAAATAGTAGAGAAGACATGTTGTTGCTTCCAGCACAACCAAACGAGATGCAACAAAGTGACCAGATCATTGTGAACACTGCAAGAAATCATACTACCAAAAAACTTGTAAACCAGAAGTTCTTATTACTTCCCCGTTAAAGAAGCACACACTAAGACAAATTTAACAAATTCAAATTAACATAATGGTTCCAACAGACAAATGCAAAGCGTTTGCTTTGACCTTAAGTAGCAAGAATTTCAATTTTCATTGTCTGCTGCAACAGTTAAACATTGAAGAATGAGTTGCCATTTTATACACAATGGAGGGAGGGGTCCTTATCCCCCCACCTACAAGGCAGACTAACCCATAGCATACTTCTGCGTCCAGCTCCTTGCAGTTGCTTCGTACTTTGCTCGGTCTGTCTTGTACATGTGAGCGATCTCTGGCACAAGGGGATCATCAGGGTTTGGATCCGTCAACAAGGAGCAAATTGAAAGTAATACCTGAATACAGAAGCAAAAATTCTTTAGCCAAACTGGATGATGGGACTAACTGAAAAGCAACTGCTGGGCTCATCATATAGACTAGACAAATATCAGTTTCCGGGAGCAAAAGGAAAATTTGACAAGCAAAAGATGCAAAAAATTAAGTACAATCAAGAATGGGTGTTTGTCAACAGGCAAGGGAGAAAGTAACAGACGACTGATCAAGCCTAACTTAGTTGATCCAGTTGATTTTTATGTATTTCACAATCCCAATCAATTTTCAGACTGGCCAGCAATTGCATCAATGTTGTCCAACCAAGTGTTACTTAGAAAGTCTTGAAACCCCCAAAAGCCACATACAAAGAAGTTCATTGTCTCAATCTAGGCCACTAGGGTCTGAAAAATCAGTAATAAGACTACCCCATACATAGCATTAAAATAAGGGAAACGCTAGGCCCAAAACATTGCAAAGAATAGCCAATTGTACTTGACGCAAAATATCAATCAACATGCTCTGAGCAGCTACAAAATAAACAGTAAAAATTATAGAAATTCAAAAGCAGAACCTTAGATATGGTCAATGCAGGACTCCACTGCTCCTTTAGAATGTCAAGACATATACTACCGTTGCTGTTGATATTTGGGTGGAAAACCTTTGTCCTGAAGGCAACCTGCATGGGTAAAAGAGCACAAAATTGTTCAAGGAAACATTAACAAAGATGTAAGCACGGCCAAATGGTAAACAAGCAAGACTAAAGCATATCACGTATCGACAGACATTTAAGAAGCCTGACAAAAAATCCACCACCTTCTCTACAATCAACCATACAACAAGGAATAAAAATGTTGTTGGCTAGCAAGGAAAGAATTTTACAGCCTAAGATCACACAGGATAAAAGATCACTTGCAAGCTCTATGAGCCTACGACCCAACCATCTTACCAACATAATGATAGCCCGTGTGGAATGATAACATCGAGATACAAATTTCTATCAAAAGCTAGAAGTTTCCATTCCAGGAAATATCAAAAATACAAAATGAGCGCTCAACTCTTGCAGGAAGTAGGAGGATCCAAAAAAGTCTGAATACAATCAAAATCAAAGGAACATCATTACCTTGGGTGGTTTGAATGGATAGTCAGGAGGGAAATGGATTGTCACTAGAAACACTCCCCCGGCATATGGGCTATCTCCAGGACCCATTATTGTTGCTTGCCAATGAAACATGTCTTCAGCAACAGGACCTGTGATACAAAGAGATTAATTACTACAAATGTTTCAGGTCAAACAATTCTCTAAACAAATAAATAAATGTAATCAGCTCCTTCCATCTCATCTCATAAACATAAGCAGCACAATAGCTAAAATGTGCACACACTGACCTGAAACGGCTGAAAGGACGTATTTCTATAGATGGGGAGAATTCAAGAATGATGCAAAAAAAATTCAAAATATAAGATAATAAATAAAAACAAATTATTAAAAGCTAGCTTAAACTTTTATAAAAAATTTCAAAAGGCTTCTTATTTATGGAAAACAAAAACTTCATGGTGAGGCTTTAAACAATTAAGAGAGAGAAGAGGGGGGGGGGGGGAGGGGTTGTGTAGCATTGATCTTTTCGGGATCAGTACAAATAATATCTGCGTACGACAGTATGAACATATGTAACAACATACGACAGTATGAACTATGAACATAAAGCTGTCAAAATTTCTCTCTTCCAAGCATACACAAAAACAGAAGATTTTAAATAGTGATCACTCAAGTAACTATCAAAAACAGAAAAGGTATAGGAAATGTATCAACACCTGTTGAGAATTAAATACTTCCAAGAATGGCCACCTGAAAACCACAAATTTAACTTCCAACGTAAATATATTTTTCTATGTGAAGTAGATTCAGACATTCTACCAGTAACCATAGTAAACAACCTCAAGGAAGATATTGGGTGCCATCAATGAACCTTGTAAGTTCAGACGGTCATATACACACTTTTACTCTTGTCATTTCAGTTTTCACCCTATTCCAAAGTAGATTAATCTCATATCCAAATTCGCAACTAAAACAGCTAAGGTGATTCTTTTGCCTACTCCCACCTTTTAGAGGCAAAGGAGTTATCATTAATTTCAGTTAAGAATATCAAAAGAAGAAACTATGTCTCTGTACTTCTGTAGGCAAAGCTCCTAGCTTCCTATCCTTCATTGCCAGAAGGTAATGGAACAAATCATGAAGCAAGGGAAATATCATTAATCCAGTTGATGTCTCATTGTTTTCTCCTATACTCCTAAGTTCTATCATTACTTCCTTACCTTCCCACCCCACCCACCCCCCCCCCTCCAAACCACCAGATCAAACACATATCAACTGACAAAAATCCATGTTTCGTGAAATCACTTTCAGGACAAGGAATAAAAAATCATTGTACACTAAAATCTATCACTGAGTAACAAACCATGGGTTCTTTCAACCAATGTAAACAAAATCTCTGAGAGTGTTTGGACGATACTCTACGAATATTTCTCGAAGTAAGCAAAAGCAATTGCACTTCCACCGATAATACTTGAGAGAACACGTGAGATTTATACACTATAAACAGAACAGCCTGGGGCATCCCAATTCCCACACTAATTTCTTATGCTATTCATGTACAAAAATGCAATAGCTAAACTGAAAATGCAGTGTTTCCTGTTACTTAAGGTGCTACCCCAGCACCGACGCATCTCCCTTCAATTAAGCCATCCTTCAACTCAATATCAATCTCAAAAGTATTTCTCAAAGTTGTTATCATTCTTTATTGCCTTTTTTTCTCCTTAGCTGCAAGCCCTGCAACTTTCACTAAATTAACATTTTCTTTGAACAACTAATCTATATTTACTTACCAATAATAAGTTTAATACGGGCAAAGGTCATATCCTTCCTTGCTACCAAATCTAGAGTTTATAAAATAAATCAAGAAGTAACAGAGTTTCAATAGTTCCAGTCGATGTCCCACAGTCATCTCCTAGACTCCTAAGTCCTACACTCCTATTCTTACTTCCTTACCTTACCCCACCACATAACTCACACACATCTGCCAACAAAGTCCATATTTCGTGAAAAACATTGTTCACTAAAATTTATCACCAAGATAACCTCCATGCTCATGCATCATCAACCCTTCTTTTAACCAACATAAAGGAAATCTCCAATTGCATTCCAATCAGGATGATACATTAGGAATGTTTTAAACAAGCCGTAAGCAAGCAATTTCCGCTTCTACTCATAATACTTGAAAAAACACACAGTGAGATTAATTAACTTTGACATAAGGAGAACATTCTTAGAAAGTCTGGAGCATCTCAATCCCCACACTACCTTCTTTGACATAAGGAGAACAATCTTAGAAAGTCTGGAGCATCTCAATCCCCACACTACCTTCTTCAAAAAATTTAGCTATTCGTGTGCATAAATGCAATAGCGAAACCAAAAATGCAGTGTTTGCTGCTACCTAAGTATCGGCGAAACTTGGTATTAATATGATAAGTTACTCCTCAAACCTACTACTAACATTTTGTCCTTAGTTTTATCTTGCCTTAGCTCAAACTGCTCTAATTTAACATACTAAACCAAACTAACGATATTCTTTGAACAACTTATCTAACAGAAAAAAGTATTACTATAAATTCCCACGACATCTTAAAATGGAATTCTGAGGTCAATAAACATCTTAAATCCTACTTTTTGGCAGCACTTTCCTTTTAAGGAAAAAAATCAAATCAGAGCAAATTTTACATGCAGAAAAATAGATAAAACAAACATAAAAATAAATAAATCAAACTTCAAACGAAATTAAAATATACTCCGTAACTTTAACAGATCTCAAACGAAAAAACACCGCTCTGAAACCTAGGACGAATTCACATAAACAACAACAAATCACGTAGAAAAAAGTAAAATCACAAAAAACTACTCCGTAAGAATTTTCAGCAGCAGAAGTAATTACAAAAATTACAGAAATAACGAAAAAAAAATAATGTTTATACCAGCGCTGCAAGAAGTAGGAGGATCTTTCTGGAGATCCTTGAGCTCCTTCAAGATCCGCTTGGACGCCATCGTTGAAGAAAGAAACCCTAGATTTGAGAACGACGGCGGAAATTGCAGAAGACGGAGGTTGAAGAAAGAGGAGAGTTGAAAAATATGGGGGAGATTGATTTGATTTAAGGCTTTAAATTGTGAGGAGGGCTGCTTCTTCTTTACGCGTACCTGATTTTTTGGGGGGCCTACTTTTCTGATTCCATATTCTTCCTTTCCATTTGCGGTCCGATTTTTTTTTTTTTTTTTTTTTTTTAATAAGCCGATTTAATTATTTCTAGATGGAATCTTTAATTTGCTTCCTATCCCACCATTTGCTTTCGTTCATCCTAACCATTTGCTTGTGGGCTGGTTTTTTATAATTTTGTTAAAGCAAGTGTTGTGCGGTCCAATGTTATCATAGTTGTTTGCCTAATTGCGTTTGAATTTATATGCCTTCATTTGACTGGCACAATCATCAATATACAGAGTAAAACTTTACACAACTCATTTAACACAACTCATCATACGGTGATTAGTTATTATAGGGTTACTTTATTAATATTATAGGGATTACTTTATTATTGTTATAGAGGTTATTTGGTTAGTATTATAAATGTTACTTTTTCTTTTACAAGTGATCACATGGTGTGGCCAGCCGCACACAAGACGCGCTTAAACTTTAATCAATAATTTATTAAAATTAGTATAATATGGAGTTATAAGAAAGTTGATATTTGAAAATAATACAATGAGATGATTTTAATGTGTTTTAAACTTATTTGGCCAAAATGGTGTATGTGAATAGTGGAAAAATTGACTTGGGGCACTTAAAATAAACAAAGGAGTATTATTCAACTTTGTTTAAACTTATATTATCTGTATTTATGAAATCTATCTTAAGTTATATATTTTGGAAACATTATTATGTACTCGTATGAAATTGTCAAAAAATAAAAATATTTTCTAGAAAAAATTAAAGCTTATTTGAATTTGTTATTTCCTCTGTTATTTTTTACTTGACATGTTTCATTTATCACGTTTGTCAATGTAAAACTTTAACCATCAATAACTTTAATTCTTTATAGGCAAAAATTATAAAAGTTATATATTATGATAGTATTTATTAAGACGATTCTAACAAAAGCTCACATGAATATATTTTTCCTTACGTATAATTCACAAAGGACGATCAAAGGAGGGATGGTGAATAGTGTAAAAGTCAAAGCGGGTCAAGTAAAAAAAAACGGAGAAAGTATGTGTTTACCTATCTTAACTTTCTTTTTTTTTTCTTTGAAAGACCTAAGTTGAATAAAAAATATATGGTTCTTGAATCATCCACAATCGAACATGAATATGAACACATGTTTTAGGACAAATTAAAGTTCATGATAAGTAATCGAACATTATAATGTCAGCACCAATTTGTTATCCATGATCAAATCTAATATCATATCACAAATAAATAAAGCCGGTCTCGCAGTGAGGCCACGAGACAAATACACTTGGTATTTCAGTTTTTCGCCAAGTGTCACGCCATATAGGCGACAAATAGGTATTATTGTGACACATATGATGCTAAGTAAGCGATTTTGGATAGATTTTTGAAGATAAAAATGTTGTATAGAGTTTTATTATCTTATATTTCTAATATTTCATATATACAAAATTAATCATAACTTTTAATAAATATCCTATAACTCGGTTTTATTTCCATCATAAAATTCGTTTCAAAAAATTCTTTAAAATAAGATCCACTAGATGAAACCCGTGTGATGCATGGTTTGTTTGTATTTTTGTACAACTTATATTTTTTTCCTTTGTTTGTGATAAAATTTGTTACTTTATTTATTCATCATACGTAGTGTATCATATTATTATTTAATATTTTTATTTTATTTATTTTAAAATAAATTGTGAATTTTCTCTCATTCATTATATATTTAAATGGAATTCCTAATATCAAAAAATAATATTTCGTATTTATTAGTTTAAACTTTAAAATTTCATTCGCCAATTTTATTTTGTTAACGTAGAACTTAATCTTTAAGACGAATAAATGATAAATTGAAAAAGAGAAAGGATATATTTATAATTTCAATAATTATTTTTTTATTTTTAATTTAAAACTGTTTTTTTATAGAGAAAACTAATATTTTTTTTAAATTAAACATTATTTCATTTTTTTATTATTATATTTTTATAAAATATTTTATTATAATCGCTTGTCATATTTTCATTATTTTTTTATCTAATCCAATTTTTTTAAAATATCAATTGAACGTGAATTTCATTTTTTTTAAAGTTTAATAGTATTTTTTTTATATATACGAAATAAAATAAATTGTTTTGTTCTCTTAAATAAAATTTCCAATTTAAAAAGATAGTTTTTATTTTTATAATAATTTTAAAATAACAATCCTACGTGGCATAATCCTATACGTAACGCTCTAAAAATACTAAACCTACATGGCGCTCTAATAATTTTTAAAAAATCAAAATTCTAGGTGGCTCTCTAAAATCTATGGAAAAAACTCCCCTTTATATAATTTAACATGATTTCATTTTTTTTATCAGTATATTTATATAAAATATTTTATTATAATCACTTGTCATATATTAATTATTTATTTTATCTAATCCATTTTTTTAAAAAAAATATCAATTGAACGTGAATTTCATTTTTTAAAGTTTAATAGTATTGTTTTATATATACGAAGTAAAATAAATTGTTTCTTTTCTCTTAGATAAAATTTCCAATTTGAAAAAATAGTATTTTATTTTTATAATAAATTATAAATTTTAATTTTAATCTGACGTGGCGCTTTAAAATAACAATCCTACGCGGCATAATCCTATAAGTAACGCTCTAAAAATATTAATCTTACATGGCTCTCTAATAATTTTTAAAAAAATAAAAATCCTAGGTAGCTCTCTAAAATATTGGGTAAAAACTCCCCTTTATTTATATATACTAATATGTGCTCCGGGCGTTGCCCCGCATACCCATTTTAGAAAATGTACTTATTTGTGGGCATATTTTGTATTATTATTATTATTATTATTATTTATTATTATTATTATTATTTATTATTATTATTATTATTATTATTATAATAATTTATTATTATTATTAGTAGTATTTATCTTTTTTAGAGTAGGAACACTACCTGTTACTTTTTATCACGTTTGTTGTTATTTTCTATTTTTGTAAGTTGCACTATATTCACTTGGTCTACTGTGACCAATGTTGTGAAGTATACATAAGAAAAGAAATTAAATGTAATTAAGATATTGTTTATCAAAGTTCTATGTCGACATATGTGCTAAATTTCAATGGGACGCTAAAAAAATAGAGGGAGTATAATTTTGTGAAAAGAAGAGTACGACGGTAAAAAAATAATAAAATAAATAAAAAGTTAAAAGTAATTATTTTTTTTAAATAGTAAAATCAACATATTATATTATTGGCCTATTGGATCATTTGTAATATATGGCTGGTAAATGGGCTTACGAAGGCCTTGTAAAAGAATGAAAGTAATTTTGTTTTTTTGTTTTTTGTTTTTTGTGTTAAAAGAATATTATCAAATGAAATGAAATTAAAGTAGAGTACTTCTTTCATTTTTCTTGTTCAGTCACTTTGGTCTAATGGTTTCAGCCTTTATCTTTCATTTGTTTTTCTTACCTTCTTGTATATGATTTACCCTCCATCAACCTCATTTGTTCTTAAGTCCAATTCCCATAAACTGATGATTGTTCGTCTTTGGATTTAATACTTCCCACAATCTAGTGATACTTACTTTCAAAATCCAGTCTTGTTTGTCGTTATTGATTTCTAACTCCTTGATCAAATTATAGTTTACTTGTTCATGTGATGTTTGTATGGTTAGAACATAATTATGTAAATATAAATTGAGAAATTTGAGTTAACATAAAAAAGCAAACGGAAACTAATTGTAATATTAAATTTAGTAGTACCTTTAACCGTTTATTGCTTCCATTCTTCTTAAAATAAGCTGAAAAAAAATAATAATATGATTAGCATACAAAAAAAAAAAAAAAAAAAAGAAGAAATTGAAACGCTTTTAAGTGAAAAACCCGTATTGTACAATTCCTGTTGTTTTCTAATTTTAATAGTTTTTGACTTCTTTAATTTCATTAACAAAATAAAAAACATGCACAAAAATATTACAACCGAATATGAAGAATATCTTATTCAAAAGCTTTTAATGGTAAATGAATGGTAGACTAAAAAAAAATTATACATGGCCATATTTACAATTATAATTACATGGTTATTCGTATAGGAGTAAAATTCTATTATTAATTGGATATTCATATTAATTATAATATGTGGTGTGTTGCTATAAATAAAATTCTATTGTCAATAAAAAGATAAATTTTTTTCAAAAGAATTATAAATTATTTTATGCATACTTTTTTTTTATCCTAAAAAAATCTATCCAATTTAATATAAAGTGGCATATAATCTAATCACAATAATATTGTGGCTCGACACTTGGCGAAAAACTGCAATACCAAGTGTAGTTGTCTCGTGGCCTGGCTGCGAAATCGGCTTTATTAGTGATGTGATGTGATATGATATGATATAAGCATATAATCTTTTTTTATAATGCAAGATATTTAGACATACAATATCATATAATAGTGAACTTTTTGTAGTTTTGTTTGTAAATAGATATCTATGTTATTAATTTACTATTGACTTGAAATTATTGTTATTGATTTTAAATTATTTTTATTAATCCGAAAGTATTTTTACCAAACCAAAATTGTTTTTATTGATTAAAACTTATTTTTACTGATTCTCTATTTTTTTTTTAACTAAATTAAATATATTATAAATGGATCTTGTTTTAAAGAACTTTTTAAAAGGAATTTAAAGATGGAAATAAAACTTAGTTATACAATATTTATTAAAAGTTATGATTAGTTTTGTATATATGAAATATTAAAAGTATAGTGATAATAAAACTCTATACAATATTTTTTATCTTAAAAAAATCTATCCAAGAATCGCTTATTTAGCAACATATGTGTCACAATAATACATTTTTGTCGCCTACGTGGCGCGACACTTGGCGAAAAAATGGAATGCCAAGTGATTAGGGAATTTTTATCCACCAATCACCATCTGACAAGTGGACCAGTCAGGTACCGCCATGTGTCCGCCACATGGGCCAATAGGAGCCTGCCACGTGTCAACTATATA